TCAGTCTCGAAAATGCTCCTTAGAACATGTATGACAAAAGCGATGCCTACTCTATTTAATTTAGATTTGATGATCCGTTGTGGTTGTCGCATACCAGCACCTGAAAACCATAGGATTCTTTCGCTGTTCTCGGCTATGAGTTAGATCAATAGCAGGAGTTCTTTCATCAGTTTGAATGGGCTAGTTAGAATAAAGGGGGTGTGACATATGCCCAGATAGAATGAGTGACAACCGACACCTTGCTGACTGTTTCATTCTTTTCAGATTGGCCAATAAATGACCACTGTGCACAGCAGGGGCTCTATCATCACTCGGCTAGGCAACACTAAACAAAAGGGGTATCATAAAGATTTTAAACAAGTGATCACACAGTGTCATATCGGACTTAGAGATGAAAAGTTGCGCTAATTGCGGTTAATTACCCAACCAAATCACCCTAAGAGTAAAAAGGATAATTAGCTCTGCGAGGTCACAGACGAGGATGGAATGACAACTGAAATCCGACCAATAGTCCAATTGCAATTCAGTCTCACGGGACATCCATTTCAGTTGATTCATGCATCTCAGCAAGCGTCAGCTGTTCAGACCACTAATTTGTATTTCAGTGACTCTGGCGCTGTGCAAGCTATGGCCAGAGAGTTAACCAATAGAGCGTTTCACATGTCTAAATGAGGGTGAGGATATGGGAAGAACAGACACGGTCAAACCGATGATCGGTAAAAAGAGACCGAATCACGGACACAACGTCATGGTTCTCAAATAATCCTTCTCACCCTGCTTCCCCAGTAATTCAAATCTGTTATGCAACTGAGAGACAGAGTGATTCTATCGATCGCCTGCTATTAAGTCCACTGTGCTACGCTTCTTGTCGGCACAACACGCTGGAGAATCATATTTCGTTTATATGAGGTTAACTAAAATGACCTCTTGGTTATTGGGATAAACTGTTTGAAACTATTTCGCTCGATGAGCAATTCAATAGAACGTGGCTATTTTTTATTCTACACCTACTTGTGATGACCGGCAAAGGGGTTGGACCCCATGGTCAAGAGCATCTGCTGCTCAGTGATCGAAATCGACTACCTAAGCCCCGGGACTTCGAGCAGCAAACCATATAAGGCCCCATTAGGTTAGGCATGATACTGAACCGCATTACTGCAGAACACCCGATCATCACAGTTGAGTGGCGCTGGCGGGGTTTGAACCTCTGACCTCAGAAAAGCCCAAAGTCGGTCGGAGACAGCGGTTAAACCATTGCACTACCACTGTCCCCATGTCCGCCGGTATCCTTCATTTTTTTCTGCAAGTACAACTCCAAATTCGTACACGTGCTCGAGTGAACAGATGAACTTGCATAAAATGGATGCCTGTTTACTTACATCTACTTATTGGTACCAAAAGTTTTCCCATCCAGTATAGTTTAATTTTGTGTAAAATGCTGAAGTTACTTCCTTTTTCTCGCTCCCGCCACACCAGTACAGTTTCGCTTTACCTATATGCAATTGGTTTGATAAATATATTTTAAGAAACGGCGTCTACGGAGTAAGTTTGTACGCTATTGAGCCATCTATGTGAATGAACATTTTGTGGTCGGTAACTTGAAGTCTATTCGAATCTGACGTGTTTACCAAATCTATGCACTTTTGATAACCATAATTCAATCTTTGTTTTCGTTCACATGACAGGTTCAACAAGCTAATTGTCGTTATCGTTTGCTGGACAAAGCTCCAAACACACCTGTTGAACACCACTCCAAAGATGGTGTAGTATACTTGACACCGATTTGGAATCGTCCGGGAGCGTGGTCCGGCGCGTCCCGTACCGCTTCACAACAACGAGCCATTATGACTGCACAAGTGGCCGATAATCCCATGACCTCGGACAATGTGATTGGCCAACTGTACTATTTGTTCTTCCGTGTCTCCTGTTACAAATATCCTTTACGGGGAGACGAGACGAATATGTGGGAAGGGCCGGAATTCCCGTCGGATCCATCCAGTCAGAAGAGTAGAAATCCGCTAGTATTTCAACATTCGTTTTACGTTTACATTTCTATCGCAAAACATCCATTCTAATTGACTGTGCAGCTGCTACCCTTCTCCAGTCTGTGCTTACTCTGTTTTGTTTTTCTTCTGGTAAACGTAGATGCGCGCGCGCACGCACACACACACACACCCGGATTTGCGCAGAAAAAAAGAACAAAGACATAATCACATGCACACCCACGTACAGACTGACATTCACTTCTGCCCTTTAATGGGTTGAAATAAATGGTCAGGCCATTCATGCATGCTTAATCCTTTGCGAAGAGTCTGTTTGATCAAAAACTATTTACCATTGGCAGTTATGTATGTATGCATGTATATGTATCTTTTGCTTGTCTGTGCTGGTGGCCATGGTGGTTGAGATGGTACGAACTGATAACTTGCTACCTGTTGCTTCCCACCACTACGTTTATACACGGACGTAATTCAATGAACACTGGTTCTCTACTGAATTAAAAACAAGACTAGTTCCAAATATCAGTCTCTTCTATCGTATCCCGCCCCCAGCCTGGTCCTCCACACACGCGCGCATATATGAAACCATTTATCATCTAGTTCTCTTTTTGGTTCCTCATAGTTTCGTTTTTCCCATCTTTTTTTGTCAATGTGTACCACTACCACTACTACTACCACTGGGATTCGCTTTTTCACAAGTTTATTCAAATGTAATTTAATCTTATTGTATGTGTGTTTAGGCTATTCACTGTACGTTTGTTAGTACGTGCGTGTCCCGGACTCTGTTCCCCCCCCCTCCCACNATGATGAAGCCACTGTGTCCTGCCAGCGAACAGCTGTTCTGTTTCTCAGAGAACTTGGCTTAGACCTGTCCGAATTCATCATTCAACTTACCTTTCTTCAAGCCATTCATTCATAGAATCACCCTTCACCTCCTCCTCCCCTACTCACATACGGGCACACGCACACATAAAAATCCATCCGAGGGACAAGGTTCTCTCGTGTTTTTTGTTGATTTCCGATGGGGAATCACTTTACGTTTTTGATCTGAAATGATATCTATGCACATGTGTTATTTAGTGAAAATATAATGATGATGGTGATCTTGTTCAAACTTATTCCGTTCTGTGCAACTAAATGCGTTTATCTCCGATTCAACTGAAACTGTTTATGTAGCAATCCGGCACGCGAATGTTTACCGTGAATTGCCAACGTGTTTGATGCTGGGACGAACAGTTGTTGAAAAAGCGAGTCAAACTGCTCAGACCATTTCGTCTTAAGAAAATTCATGTCTAGTCGGTTCAGATTTCCCGCTCAGTCATCGTCGAGGTTCCTTGTTGGGAAGCCGTACATCAGGAGCGAGTCCATCACGGTCCGATAAGGTTCACTGCGTGACGGATGAACGGTAAAGAATATGTTGTAGATATTTAGCAAAATATTGTGGATAATACAGGTGTCCAGGCCGTCAGATCATTGACCCCTCGGGTCTGAGTTGAAGTCCGAGTTAATTTATTGCGTACGGGCTAACGATGATTCTCTATATGGATAAAACCTTGGTCTGAGTATGGCAATCGGAACTTTGTTTATTAATTTTCATCCGTTCGCCGGGTTTGGTAAATTTTTATGCGAAACAGCCGAAGTGAAGTCTTCATTGCTTATGGCCTTCTGCTTGTATCCGTTCGCTTATATATGTTATGCTTCACTCACTACTTTTGTCCCTTGTTCTGTGTTCGACCTACAGTTCACCGTTGAGCTGGTGCAAGGGGATGTGTGTGTGGGGGGGAGGGAGGTGTTCTTCCGTCGGGATTGCAGTTTTTGGTCTGTTCTCAGGTTATGACATGACCTTTTGATCTACTTTGCACAGAGTGTCGCATAACGAAATCGTTTGGGGCAGACTACACAGATCGAGCATGACGTTCGTTGTCTGTGAAAACGCTCACAGAAGACAGTGTACACACCTACAGTCCGTTTGCAGGAGCATCGTACTCTCTTTATAAGATCCATCATTCTTCCAGCTACTAATAAAACAGAAGGCAAGTGAGCTTGATTTTTCAAACGACTCCGTCAAAATACATCTGTGAGTATCTTCAATCGGCAGCTTTTGGTCGTGGTCCAGAAGAACGAACTGTAATCCAGTTGTTACGTTCGTGCTAAAAATGATGACCGCTGATACGTGCTGGGTCAATGACACGAACGGCAGACTCTGTGAAGCGACCAGTAACTGTATGGCTTAGCCCCGGGCGGTCTTGAATGAACGCTAATCCGAAATGTGGTAGGGGTAGGGTATAGGATTTACACTTAGTACTGAAATGAGAATTCCGCCAACATCTCTTATCACACAAGGGAAAAGAGCTAACTGATATGTGATGGGAAACAACCCAGGTAAGACACATTTGGGATGTTTATTGCCCGCATTTTGAAACGATGATTTAGATGTATGACGGTTGTTGTTGTTGGTGGTGTTGTCTGAATCATTGTTTTGTTAGAAATTTATCCATTATGTCATATACTTATTATGAAGCGGTAGTGTTGATAGTATTAAGAGGACCTCGGGGCGGTTCGCGAGAAAAAGCCAATTAGTCATACCATGTGTGAGGTGCCGAAAAGGGCGGAAGTGGATCGGAGAGACAGTACTGTGGATAATGCCACGACACAAATCCCATAAAACCGAACCGTCAAAATTGAAGAGAATTATTTGAAAAGCCACAGTCTTATTGTTTCTGAGTTCGTAGACAGTGGATGTACTCATTGTGTATGGTATTGTATCGTATTGAAGCTTTAGCGAGTTATAGACAAGCTTTCAGAAGAGACCACTGTCTCAATACTGGCAAAAAAGTGAGAAAATGTGTGACGTCAAACGCAAAAATAAGAATTGACTAATAAGTGCAGTTGAATGCTGAGAACGAACACTTTCCTTGTCGGCAAGTATCCAGACAAAGTAGATGTACCGAACTGTCGTTCAGTGGTTGATTAACTCGTAAATGCGAACCCCAAGTCCGATTCTAGATAACCAGAAGTCGATAATCTACGTGTACTATAAGCAGGCAAATATGTACAAAAACAAGCACCGTACTTTGAATTGTGGGCCAATTCGGTCTCCACGGCAAAAGAACAAGATACAAAGTGGGTCAAGGGGCAGAACAAAACACCGGCGGAGCGGTTACCACACGAAATGCAAACAATGTTCATAAACGGGACAATTTATGGGATAGAAACACCAATCGCAAGTGCCCGATAATGAAGCGCAGTCATTGGTCAATGCAAGGCAGGCAAACGGTTTACGGAATCCTATGGAACAAAGCAGTCCGATAAGCAAATCAATCGAATGATCAAATATGAAGGTCAGCATAAATGGACGGGTTGACAATGAATTATACTTTTTAAACTTCAAGTAAATCCGTCGTAACTTCAAGTGAATCCAACCAATCGCACTCTATTGGAAACCCCACAAGATTATTGGTGTTTCGGCCGTCAAATGTCACCGATTGGACCGGGTCCGTCTAAACGCCCTCC